GGGGCTCTCGGGGGGCGTGGGGGGTGGCGGGGCGCCCTCAGGCCGCGGCGCCTCCTCTTCCATGTTGCCGGTGTGCTCCGCGTTCTCTATGATCTCCTGCAGCAGCTTGCGCTTCTGGTACTCGGGGCCTGTGGAGAGAGTGGTTGGTGTGAGGAGCTGCCCTGGGGGCTGGAGGGATGGCAGCCCCTCCAGGAGGCCGCTCCAGCTCCGTACCACTATCATACCTTTGGACAGCTGTGCCCACAACTCCAATGGGCTTGGGGACAACTGTGAGAGGGTCCAGACTGGAGGCTGGGAGAGGAGGTGCTCCCAAACCGGAGCCTGCTTCCAGGAGGTGTTTCCTCCAGGAGCAGCCAGAGGCTCTGATCCCCACCGCGTGCTGTCCGGCTGGGAAGAGCCGAAGGTGCAGGGAGGGAGCTCCAGATGAGGGTAAAGAAACAATGAAAATCTGCAGCCCAGCTTTTTGCGGTCATGCAGGTGGGTTATCCTGGGGCTAAAGAGGATCCAGCTCCCAACCAAGTTTTTGGGTTTTTTAATGGCTGGGAAACTCTTCCATGTGGCTTCTTTGGTGTCTAATAGTGTGGCGACTTCACAAGTGATAGGGGGGATGCCCAGTCTCCTCCAGAAAGGCAGGTATCCCCTATTGATCTACCTGTCGTCCATCACAATGGGAAAAACACCTTTCTCATGAGCGGAGCAGGGCTGGTGGTTTCTCAGCCCTCCTCTCTGCACTGATCCCTGCAACACCAGCAAAATCACCTGGCACCATCACACAAGGTGACTCAGGGCTTCGGCTTTCATTCTGGCCTCATCTCCCACGGTGACTTGACAGCTCCTAGCAACATTGCCCTCACTTCAATTATTCACCTATCATTAAATCTTTACTTCTTGTTAATCCTAGGCCGTGTCCACAAAGCAAACTGCAGCCCAGCTGGGGTCTGGGGAAGTCAGCCAGAGACTGACACCGAAGACACCCATCATGCTGCGCAGCTGGCTGAGCAAAATCTACCACTGACCAACTGGGAATATCTTTTGGAATAACAGTCCTGCACAGTGCTCTGCATGCTGGGACCCGTGTTGGGAGAGGGGTCCCTGGATGTCACCATGATGCTCATAGCAAGTGAGAACAAGAAGAGCATGTTCCTTATGGGCAGCGCGAGGTCGCAAACCAGCTTTTTTGAAAGCAAAGCACCTGCTTTTGAAAGTGACTTTGGCCTCATTCTTCTGACTCCAAAGGATGCTGAGGGGTGCGTACAGGGCTTGCTCTGCGCTCCTGAATGGCACAGACCCTGGAGCTGCACCATCCGGAGCTGCGTCCCGGTTCCCGCCCTCGCCTCCTCCACCCCAAGGACTGATGCACACTTGAGCCTGATCGGAAAATTGGGATTGGTGCTTCTTTCCCTCTAATCAGCACTGTGATTTGCATGCTGCTGCCTCCTGCCCACGCAGGCAATGCCTCCACTCGGAGGGGGCAGTGGGGAGAAAGAGAGCACTGATTTTAGCTGCTCTGCCCTGCCTGCACGCTCCTGTCAATCAGCAAGCGACCCATTCAGGGCCATTTATTTCTGGCTGCAAGTGGATTATTTGGAAGCCATTTCAACAGTTGTTCAGACTCCTCAAAATAGGCTGCCTGCAGCTCTAGGCTCCTTGCTCTCTTCTGCTGCTTTCTTCTCCTCCTGAATAATTCACAGCAAAACAACTCCAACTGCCTGGAGGGCACTCCATAGCTCTGATCCTCCTCACCTCCCCACCCCACCCCACCTTCACCTCCCAGCATGACATTTCACCAAGGGCTTTCACTTCCATCTCTCTCCTCTAAGCTATTAAGGTTGATACCCTAAATGAAACCCAGGGCTAAACACTTGTTAGAGAGGTGAGGCTTGCTGAGCAGGATTGCCCTGTGCCGAACCTGGGGACAGCAGGGGGAAATGCAGCTGCCAAACACTGCCAGGCTCTCCTGGCTGTGTCACCAGCAGCTCCGAGACCCAGCAGAATCCAAGGGTGGACTTTTGTCCTTTTGTTTCTGGACGGCGCAGCCATGAAAGAAGAGACATTTCCCCTTGTTGTGCACTTAAGCAATTTAGAGATTTAAAAGAATCATAGAATAAAACCATGCATCAGCAGCTTACAAGGCCATTGAGAGAGGCCAGGACCCAAGTGAAGCCCAATATAAAAGCAGCGAGAGGATCCAGCACCGGAGGAGCCAGGAGTGGAGGCCAGGCTGCTTCAGACATTTTGCAGAGACCGTTTCAATTGCCTTGTTCAGTTGTCATAGGTGGAAAAAATAATCCAGCTGGATGTCACTATTCTATGATTCTATGTCAAAAACCTCCCATCAGGAATTCCAGTTTCCTTCGCCTCTGAGCTATAAATACCCCAGTGTGCAAAGGATGAATGTGGAGCGGTGAGTGGCAGCTGGGGGGCTTATGTCAGGATCAAGCAACGTTTAGCTATCGTTAAGTGAAGTGCCACGTGCTGGCTCATGCCCACGCCTGGGCACTGTGGTGTTTCCCTGGTCAAAGCCAGCTCCGATGGGCCTCGCTGGGCGGTGGGGAGGAATGGGCAGCCCTCCAGCGCAGCGTCTCCCCAGCTAGTACGTGAGGGGCACAGTGGGAGCACAGGGAATTTAGGCAAATCTGTCAGTATGACCCTCCCTGGCCAAGCATCGGCTGTGAGCCATTCCCCTTTCCCGCTGCATGCCCTGTGCTGGGGTGTAGTACCAGAGACTGGAGGCACCACAATCAGAGCAGGAGCAGGCAGCAGGTTTTGCTGAGCAGGAGTCACCGTTTGGCTCCTACCCCCAGTTTTGCTGCTGTGATGGTCCCTTGTGATCCTGCCTCAGCAGCCACAAGGCACTTGTTCCAGGTAACAAAGCCAGATAATAAGAAAAACAGGATAAAAATGTAAGCATTTGGATCCTCATTTTCTGCTCTGTTATTACCTTCCCTGTCTGGAAAGAAGAGCTTCCCAGGAAGAACATGTCTCTAGCTAGCTTGGTCTAGGGAAAGGTAACGGCATTCACAATGCTGCTTCTAATATTACACTTCCGATCTACTAATCCTCAGTGCTCGGTCTCACAGAAGGAACCTCCCAAGTGTCTTCCCGGCCAAATAATCAGCAGTGATGCTAATAAATAAATAAGGAATCAGGAAAGCAGTATTTTGCCTTAGCAACTTTCTTATAGGACATTACAGCCCCTAATTAGCTGAGTCTGGTTGTACCCTGGTGCGGTGTGGGGCCCCACAGGGTATGTGCTGTGAGTCAATGTACAAAGCTGTTCCAAGAAAAAGCCATGAGGAATATATCTACAGGAGTGCTGCAAACAGACCCGAGCTCGCTGCCTGCCTTGCCTGCCGCTGGGAGGGCCTCAGCGTGTGGAGAAACAGGAGGGGAAGTTGAGGGACTGTGTTTTTTTCCTCTAGGGTATGGCAACATATTCCAACAGGTAAAAGAGCGGTGTAAGGAGGACAGCAAATCTTCCAGGGCAGTGGGCTGGCTGAACTTGTGCAAAAGAGGATTTAGGATAGACTTGTGGAGTTATGAAGCAGATGAAGCATTTGAACAGACTCCCCAAGGAAAGTGGAAAATCCCTCTTGGAAGATGCCTCTGGTCTTACCTGGCTGGTAAAAGTCCGGGGAGAGCTCCCTGGCCATCATCCTGGCTATGCCCGATTCGTTGTTAGCTGCCTGAGCTGCCTGCTCAGAGCTTTCAGCCTTGGCTTTGGCGTGAGCTGTCCTGCGGAGGGAAGAGGGGACAACAGTCAGCAGCATCCAAGCCGAGATCAGTCCAGCTTGAGCAGTGGACCCTGTCCAGAAACAAGATCAAATCAGTCCAAGTGGCATCACAAAGCACTCAGAGCCTGTCCGCTCAACCCCAAACCCCTGCACTCGAGGAGAAAAGACCAGATTTTCAACAAGTAAGGGGCATGAATATTAAGGCTGAGGTGTGAAGGTTGCGCTTAGCCACACAAGGGAACAGGGCAGGTGTATTTACCATCGAGCACGTTCATGTGTTGCAGCGAGGCAGCAGGTGCTGCAAAACAGTCTTGCCACCGTGCTGTGAAGCACTGAAAACCTAGCTCAGAGGAATGCCTAAAGCATCGTCGCAGGCATCTTTGGACCATAAGGAGATAATAACACGATGGCCGAACACCAGGACACCAGCAAACAACGCAGCTTTCCAAGGGGCTCCTTTACTCACTGCAGCCCAGAGGGCTGCTCTCACTAGTGCTAGGAAAGGCAAACCCTGAGTCCTCTCCACTCCTTCCCAGCACATCTCCTCCTTGCTCCTCAGGGCTATCGGAGTTATTTCTCTGGCCAGCTGTCATATTCCTCACATGCCTTGCGCTCGGGGCCCTGTGATCTTTACACTAAAAGCAGGACTGGCTTTACAGCCCAGCTGCTCGCGGTCTGGGAAGGAGCTGACTTCAAACAGCAAAATCGCACCTTAAAAATAAGGGATGGTGAAGTACCATATATTCAGCTGCTTTGTTCCACCCGGGGCTTACGGAGAGCCACTTTCCCCATGCTCTCACTATCATGTTTGCCAAGGCTCCCCATATCTCCCTTGCTGCACGTAATGGAGCATACGCTGGCTGCACATGCAAAACCACATACTTTTGTGTGGACAGTTAGATAAGCAGTTAGCAGCCCTCAAACACCAATTCACTATGAATTACAACATTTAATGTGGTCTTGCGGTGTCTGATGAGCCCTTTTGAGACTCGGGTTGGTATCTGGGTCATGCTTTAGGACAAAAAAAGAGGAAAGATGCAGTTCTCATCCCTGCAGTGAAAATACTCCAGAAGAATTTTTGGACTGTCAGTCATGAAGTCAGGATTAATTCCTTCCCATTAAACTGAGATGCAGTACGCAGACGAGAATAGTTTTAGTCTGAATACCCAACAGGTGCAATGAAAAGGTGATAGAAATGCTGTTCCGAGACACTTAGAAGATAGAAGATCTATATATACACGTACATCCATACACACACATCATTTTGAGTAGCTGCAGGGAAAGAACTAGACGTAGGGCACTAATCCCAACTGATACAGTCAATAGTGTGACTTGACAGGGAGCTGAAAACACCTTTCAGGTCCCAATGATAGAGAAGCGGGTGTCCTGGGACGTCCCTGGGACGACATCCTGCTCCGCTGGAGCCATGATTCGCCACCCTGCCCACACTCACACGTTATCTCTCTGCTTTCTCTGCAGGCTGAGCTGCCTGGGATTGCTGTCATTCTTGGTCCTTTTATCCAAAACTATTACAGCTCCTGAAAAACCCAGAGACAAGACATGATGAGGCAGAAAACAGAAATTTTAAGCTGCTGCTCACAAGCAGGAGGTCTGAGGCAGCTCTGAACAGAGAAAGCACCTCCTTTTTTGGTAGCATATAATCAGCATGATTAATTCCACTATAATCTGGCAGGGGCCAAGGGGGATGTTTCTGTGCTCTCCATGCCTGGGGGATCAGAGCTGGCTGGACGCGCTGCGCGTGGGGCACACAGCCTGCCCGGCGCCAGCCCCGGCAAGAAGCTTGCAAAGTGAGCGTCCAGCTCTTCCCCGGGCAGGATGTGCTCCAACCCCTGGCTGTGTCCTGCTCTCGGAGGATGGTTTTCACCATACAGAGATAAAATTCTCCCTTTCAGCCGCTCACTGAAAAGGCAGAGGCAAGCATAGCCTTTGGGTCTTCCCAGCCAGACAACCCATCAGCTGGACCCCGCTGGGAGAGCAGCAGGCAGCTCCTGGCAAGCAGGTGGATGCTTTCCTAAAGGTGATTTCCAAAAAAAGTAGTCTGGAAGTGGACTGGATGTGGGATCTGCTCCCTCTGCGAGTAGGGACATAGCCAGACTCATGCCGATGTGCTATCAAATGGGTGCAGGTGGCTCCCACATGCTCAGCTCTCCCCCAGCGACTGGGGACAACGTAAGGGAACAGCCCCAGGCTGTCAGAGGTGACAGGACAGGTCCCAAATACACTCATCTCCTGACGGAGATTTCCTTTCCTCCAGAGAAGCTGCTGGATGCTATCTGGCTGCTGCGTGGGGCTTGAGTACTGCAATTCCCACAGGCGAAGAGGTGGCGATGCCAGGAACCTGGGTTGCAGAGGCTGCAGTGAGGATGCTGTGGCTGCTGAGGAGCTGAGCCATCACTGCGAGCCACCACAGCCCCAAGGCTACTGCAGCTCTACAACGAGCTCTCCTGGGCACAGAGGGGCTCAAGGCCAAGGAGGCCATGGGGCAGCTCTGAAGCTCCATGCACAGAGCCATGACAGTATGCTGAACGGCATGTCTTTGGGATTCCGCACAGTTTTGCCCGGTTCCGTTGCTCTGCAGGATACGCCTGACCTGTACTCCTGTCCCCCTGCTTGCAAATTCATCCAGAAGCGTTTGATTTGTGGGGACTAAGCTCAATGCAGCCACAGCTTCAAATCTGGCAGCTCCGGCACACCACACATTGGCTCTGCCAGTGTCCCAGGGACACCATGGCACAAGGCAGAGCGCTGCGCTCCCCCCGCCAGCAGCCTGGCCTCACAGGGATGCTGACACCCCACACTGGGCCCCACTGTCACTGAGATCACTTATTACAGCAGCAGCCAGGTGATGAAAATCTGGTTTATGGAGACACGGCATGGAGTTTTAAGTATGTCTCCTCCAGCTGTGCTGCGCATCCCCGAGGCACGAAGCGATGCTCACAGCCCTCCCAAAAGCCACACTGAGGCTTTAGTGACACCATGACAAAGCACAGCCTGGAGGAAAGGGCCCAGCCATAACAATAACATCGAACTTGCCGAGAGTATTTCTGAACCTATTATTTACCCACATGGCTGGCAGTGCCTGGGAGCTCAGCGCAGAGCAAAACTTGGCCCCGGCTGCAAAGCAGGAGACAAATACTGGCCTCCCTGGGAGAGCCCATCACACACAACCCACTGCACAAAAGCCTCTCCCAGCCCATGGGTTGGGGTCTGCCAGGTGCAGTAGTTAAAAAATAAGCTCAGGCAGGTTTGAGGGAGGCAGGAAGGTGGTCTTTGAACCTTAGACATGAAACAGATAAGAGGAAAATTTTGTTCCAAGGTTAAGATCTGCTCCAAAACCAGATCAGCTTTTGCAAAGAGGAAAATGCTGGCCTTTTATACTGTGCATATAAATGTGATACTTTTCAGGCAGCACTTGAAGCAGGGCCACACTTTTTTATTTACTGCTATTTGTGCTGTCAGCTCCCAATACCTCTGCAGAAAGCAGCCCATGCAAAAACCAGCAGACGAGAAAGTCAGGAGATGGAGGAGGTTGGGGTGAAACCGAAACAGAGGCCCAAGGATTTTATAGCGCCCAGCAGCAGAATTCAAAAGCCCCTTTTCACGGCAGTGCTGGAAAACAAATCGTGAATGTTAAACGTGTCCAACCAGGGGCAAGAAACACAGAGAGGGGCCTTTACAAACGAAGTCCAGTGCTCCCTGTCCCAAGCGAGGCAGTACCGCCCGGGATGAGTGCTTCCCAGTTTCACCCTGACCCATCTCCCCAGGCAGCGCCGTTAAAAATAGCTCTGGTGAATTCTTTGCAAGGAGGAGCAGCAGCCCCGCGCCGAGCTGAGGGGAGGCATGTGGGCAATGCTGGAGCCCCGGTCCCAACCCCGCTGCCACTGCCTCCCGGCAGCACTGGCTGGGACAGAGCGGCTGCTCCGTGGCTGCTTCATACCCTGGCTGGACGGGTGGGAGAGGGAGGGTTAAATGCATCTGCTGTTTTATTTGCTCCTCTGGCATGGCTCTAATGTTCTAATTGTTTTTGTACTAGCACAGCACTGAGCACCACTCCTGTCCTTCCTGGCCGTCTCCCAGAAACACTGCCCGAGTCATCCCTCTGACTGCTACTAAAATCCTCTGTGGATACACGAGCCGCAGCTGAGCACCGTGCTAACAGGTGAGACCCAAAGCCAAGCCAGCATGCCCGTCTCTTTGGACAGTTTATGCGGTTTTGCACATCCACATTGGATTAGACTGTAAATGAGATTGGAATTAACAGAGAATACTGCAAATACCAGACGGGGCTGGGGCGCCTGCAGGTGCAGCGATGACCTTGTGGCTAGAAATAGGGGAAGAGCTCAGCTCTCTGCCCAAGCTACTGCACATTTGCTTATTAAGGGAAAGGCAGACCTGTCCAGCACCATCCTTCCTTCTCCAGGGTCTCCTTCCTCTCATTCATTCAGCAAACCCCAAACAAGGACCAACTAAACACCTTTTTCTTGCCTTTCTTGATATCATGAGTTGCCAAAAAGGCCACTAAGCAAATGTAATTCTTCAGTGAGCTCTACAAAGGGAGACCTGCTAAACTCCACTCTCCTGGAAACTGGCTTTTCCACCCCCAGCCAAATTCCTGCTCCAGCATCCAGCTGGAATCATTTTGTCTTTCTGGAGAAACTTAAGATAACGGTTTGTCTTGGCAGGAATGTTTGCAGCACTCAGAAGTGATACAGGGAAAGCTGCAGAAGTGCTTTTGCTGATGGCAACATGGTCCCTTCTGCATTCACATCACAAAGGGCAAGGACACAGACCTGACCAACACAGATCTCTGTTGGGGGTTGGACTAGATGACCTTTAAAGGTCCCTTCCAACCCAAACCAGTCTACGATTCTATGAACTGACCAGGACAGACACTTTCTGGCTTCTCCATTTTCCACACCGTCTTTGGGCTGGTGTCACCTCTATAGTTGGAGCATCCCTTTCTTCCTGCTCAGTCCCAAT